CCTTCTAGCACTTGGCGCTGTGCGATGCACATGCGCCTCCTCCTCAGAGGTCGTCAAATATCATCAATTCTCTAGCCAGTGCTATTCACTGACACGTTGATTTCCACCGGTTGCCAATAAACTAAAGAGCATGCTCTCCCAACAGATCCTCCTTTCCCGTTATCGCAGTGACATTCTGCACGCTGCTCATTTGACGGAGAGTCTAAGTGCCTAATCACTTACACGAAGAGACAGTCGAAGTGTCCTTGATTTCCTTGCTTTCTCCCTCCACCCAGCTCTCACTACTTTGCTATCACCACTCATCGCAATTCGCAACGTATGTCACTGCCTTTAATACACTAGCGCCAAAAAGTTGAGCAATACTTTTCGTTTTGACATTTTGAAAACACCGACGATACTCTAACCACGCCAACCGACAGCCCTTCGTGCATTTCCAGCCGGAGATTTTGACGCCTATTTGTTATGATCAGCAAGCTCAATCGATATAAGTGTATCAAATACTATTCTGACAGAAACATGACATAAACTGCATTTTTTTGCTGTAGAACAATAGTAAACATTTCAAGTTCAATCGTAAATATTTCATTGCATTTAAAAAATTTTTCTTTTTGCTTTGGCTGTTTAATTTTGGACTTTGAAAGAAGAAGGCATTTTACTATAATATTAGATTAAGTGGGGCTGGAAGAAATTTTGGGATAGCAAGGGGCAATGAATGGGTCAAGTGAACCGGTATTCAAATCTTCATTTGCCTTTCTTTAGTGCATTTTATCAGTAGACTGAATCAGTGCAAAATTTATCAAACTATGGGCACCAACCGGAAGTTTTCTTTTCTTTTCTGGAACTTAGTTTTCAAAAATCATCAACTTGAGCCTTATTTACGCCATACGCAGCACGTAATGTCTCACATTTTCGCAAACAGAGCTCTGCTTGCAAAAAGAATATTTTGCGCCGGGTTCTCCTCGTCATCACAAATCAGCTCCTCAGCGTACTGTGTTGCGTATTGCATCACTGATCCTGTTACCCGAGTATAACTCACTAAACTACTTTTTTTGCAGAAACTCGGCTATATGTGCACTAATTCTGCTTTCTACTGGAACATCATTCTCTCAAATTTCCATCCGAAAATTTTATTCTGTAATAAGAAATAAATTTTTAACTAAATTTCCGAAAAACCCGTCAATCCGACCCTACTGCATACTAATGCTCGGATGTACTCGTTTTGCCAAGCTTGGTTGTAAAAGTAAGCCAGATGCAGCAAAGAATGGCTTTCGCTTCTGAGGACTGACAACTCACTGATCTGATTTATACATTACTAAATCCTAAACTTTGAAAAAATGATACTTATCAAGTTTTTATTACTGCATCTTTGAAGACTAGTGCTTGGTTGCAGGCTGTTGTCAAGTGGGGCCTCCAGGCCCACCTGGTGAACCAGGTG